CCCCCCCCCCCCCCCCCCCCCCCAGGCCCCCGGCTGATGAGCAGGCAAGGAACGTTGAACCGAGCCATCAAAGGAACATTCAAAGGTAAACCTCCAATGGACAGCGGGTATCTCCAGAGCCAATTTAGCTCGCAGAGTGGTCCCGTCTCTTGGTGGCGCGCTCCGCCATCATAGCCCATTGGCCGTCTCGGTCTGGGACATTCAGACTAGACGCAGTGACGATGTGCCTATTGAAAGTGCTTCCTTTTTGTCCTTTTGTCCAGCAGACAGGATCATGGGCGGCGGGGAAGCGGGACGTGAAGCACTTGGCCATGCAGCCATTTCCTCTCTCTTCTTGCCCCCCTCCCTCTTTTGTTTTGAATCAGCTCCTCGTCATTGTCCAACCCTGGCCGCTCGCTTGGTTTTGGCGACCGTTGACCGCTTAAACTGAACATGATGCCGAGAAATGTTGTTCGTCCAGGTTCAACCAGGAGCATCTGTCAACCTTGCCTTCACACGTGTGATTTGTCTCCGTATGCCCGTCATCTATCGACTCCCGACTGCCTGGCTGAGGAGCAAAGGACGAGCCGAGATGAACCAAGCGCGATGATGACAACGACTGGCGAAGGGGGCAAGGATCAAGGCTCCAGTTCGCTGATTGCCGTGGAGTCGTATACCATGACAAGGGTCGGCACTGTCTCATTGCGCCTGGCTTCGTACTGTGCTCCGCACTCTGTACTGCAGGGAGCGTTCATCTGCAAGAGGAGAGGAGACGAGGCAGAGTTGTACGAATCCAGGCACGAGTCTGTACAGAATGCACTTGTCCGGCTCATATATGTTCTCAGCTGAGGTGAAGAGGCTCGCTGCATCGCCTATCCTACTGCATCCGACGGCTGCATTGTGTCAGCTGCTAGTAGTAGTACTTGTACAGTAGGAGGAGTACAGTAGGATATACCTGGCAGCAGTACTCGTACTCCGTAGCAGGAATATTTCGCAGTGGTCCATCCATGGCAATGCAAGGGACATGGACCTGCAGGCGAAATTATCCACCCCGGGTACGAAGCGGCTCCTCCACTAGAAATGCCCGCTCGGCTCTGCCTTGCCTTGCCCTTCCCTGGACTTGTCATCAATGCTTCCTGTCCAGTTCTCATCCCGGAAGCGAACATGTTGTCCGGGGGGCAAGGCCAAGA